AAAAAAAAAAAAAAAAAAGGAACCAAAAAAAACGTTATGTAAAATAAATCCCAGGACAATGTCCAAGGAGGTTAACTTTTGTTTTTTCAGCCTTGAACTATACCAGGATGACTTTAATTGTCATATGTAGGAATAAATATAATGGGAAGCCACTTTTAGTAAATACATATGGACACTGATAAAGGAAATCTGATTAAATGAATTATATAACTTAGTGCTCTGTCCTTGAATCATGAGGCAAGTTAGTGCAAACCTTTGTAAGCATGCCACCTTCTCTTTACAAGACAAGCAAATGGAGAATTTTACCCTAGAAATGTTTGCCTCCCCACCAAAAAAAAAGTTCTATCAGCCAGATGTTTAAAAATTCTTTCTTAAAATTTTAGAAAATGCAATATATATTATTGCACATAAAGAGTGAAATGTTTGCAATGATGTTTAACATGTATAGGCAGAATGCTTTTTCTGGATGAGACTATTATAATTTGCTTAGAGATGATCATGATTTCTTCATGGTATTTATATGTATTTTAAGTTAAGTGCATTGTATCATCTTAATAAAATTATTATATACTCTGCAGTTATCAGGTAGAGTTTAAATAATATTCACAGCTAATTATAATATATGCTATTTATGTAGGAAATAGTTTATGATATAAAAGTTTGGTTATGATACATTTTTCTCCTACCTGACAATTTAAATATTTTTCTGTATGATATGTAATCAATACGTTATAACAAATGTTCTTCACAAACTGTATATTAACTGTACTTTCAGTATAATTTCATATGAGAAGGGTTGTTGTTAGGTGTTGTAGAGTCAGTTCCCATCATAGTGAAACTATGTACAACGGAATGAAACACTGCTCAGTCCTGTGTCATCCTCACAATCACTGCAATGTTTGAGCCCATTATTGCAGCCACTACGTCAATCCATCTCATTGAACTCTGCCTCTTTTTTTGCTGACACTACTTTACCAAGCATGTTGTCCTTCTCCAGAGACTGGCCCCTCTTAATAACCTGTTCAAAGTATGTGAAACTAAGTCTTGCCATCTTTACTTCAAAGGAGCACCTGACTAGTTTTTCTGGCTATCTATGGTATATCTAGTATTCTTCACAAAATCCATAATTCGAAGGCATTAATTCTTCTTCAGTCTTCCTTAGTCATTGCCCAGCTTTCACATGCATATGAGGTGATTGAAAATACCATGGCTTGGGTCAGGCACCCCACAGTCTGCACAGTGACAACTTTCCTTTTCAACACTTTACAAATGTCCTTGCAATAGATTTGCCCAATGAAATATGTTGATTGATTTCTTGATTGCTGCTTCCATGCATGTTGATTGTGGGTTAAAGTAAAATGAGATCCTTGACAACTTTAGTCTTTTCTTCATTTATCATGATGTTGCTTACCTGTCCAGTTGTGAGGATTTTTGTTTTATGTTGCAGTGCAATCCATACAGAAGGCTGTAGTCTGTGATCCTCATCAGAAAGTGCTTGAAGTCCTCTTCACTTTTAGCAAGGAAGGATGTGTGCATATTGCAGGTTGTTAATGAGTCTTCTTCCAACCCAGATGCCACGTTCTCCTTCATATGTATAGTCCAGCTTCTCAAATTATTTGCTCAGCATACAGATGAATAAGTATGGTTAATAGATGAAACCCTGAAGCATAACTTTTTTGATTCTGAACTACATAGTATCCCCATTTTCTGTTTCAATGACTGCTTCTTGGTCAACATACAGGTTCTGATAGAGCACAGTTAAATGTTCTAGAATTCCCATTCTTCACAATGCTGTCCATAATTTGTTATGATCCACACAGCCATATACTTTTGCATAGTCAATAAAACAGAGGAAAACCTCTTTCTAGAATTATCTTTTTCTAGCTAAGATCTCTCAGACATCAGCAATGATTTCACTCATTACACATCCTCTTGTAAATCCAGTATGAATTTCTGGCTATTCCTTGTCAATGTAGTGCTACAGCCATTCTTGAATTCTCTTTAGCAAAATTTTACTTGCCTGTGATAATATGGTATCATTATTATCATTAATAATATTATTATTAATTTCTACATTCTACTGGATCATCTTTCTTTGGAATGGGTACATATATGGATCTCTTACAGTCAGTTGACCCAATAGCTATCTTCCAATTTTCTTGCATAAATGAGTCATCCCTTCCAGTGTTACAAACATTTGTTGAAACATCTCAATTTATATTCTGTCAATTTTTGCAGACTTCTTTTTTTGCCAATGTCTTCATTGCGGCTTGTACATCTTCCCTTAATATCATCATTTCTTGATCATATGCTACATCTTGAATTGGCCCCTCCACCTTCGTTTGATGCTTGCTGGATTGTTCAATATTTCGCCCATCAAATCATTCAGTTTTGCGACCTGAGGCTTGAATTTTTCCTTCAGTTTTTTCATCTTGAGAAATGTTGAGCTTGTTCTTCCTTTTTGTTTCCTAGCTTCAGGTCTTTGCACATTTCATTATAACACTTTATTCTGTCTTCTCAAGCCACCCTTTCAAATTTGTTCAGCTCTTTTATTTCATTATTTCTTCCATTCACTTTAGGTTCTCTATGTTCTGTGGCAAGTTTCAGAGTCTTTTCTGACATCCATGTGATATTTTCCTGATTTTTTAATAATCTTTTACTTTCTTCGTGTATGATGCTCTTGATGTCATCCCACAACTTGTCTGGGCTTTGTCATTCGTGTTCAAAGCCTTAAATCTGTTCTTGAGATGGTCACTAAATCTGAGTGAGATATACTCAAGGTTGTACTGTGGCTCTAGTAGACTTGTTTTAATTTTCTTCAGCTTTAACTTTCACTTGCTTTTGAGCAATTGATTGTCTGTTCTGCAGTCAGTGGCTGGTCTTCTTCTGACTGATGATATCAAGCTCCTCCATCATCTCTTTCCACAGATGTAGTCTATTTGATTTCTGTGTATTTTGCCATCTGGTGAAATTCACATGTATGGTCTCCATTTATGTTATTGATAAAAGGTATGTTTTAATCTTGCCAAATTCTATCACTGGATCTCCAGCATGGTTTCTATCACTAAAGCCATATTTTTCAGCTACAGATCCTTCTTTGTTTCCAACTTTTAATTTCTAGTCACTAGTAATTATCAGGGAGCTCTGGTAGCATAGTGCCTAAGGCACCTGAATGCTAACCAGCAGGCTGGTGGTTCAAACCCACCAGCCACTCCTCGGAAGGAAGATGGGGCAATCTACTTCCATAGTGATACTGCCTTGGAAACCCAAGGAGGGGTCGCTATGAGTTGGACCCAACTCGACGGCAATGAGTTTGGTTTGGTTTGGTTAGTAATTATCAGTGCATCTTAATTGCATGCTTGATCAACTTCAGACTGTAGAAGATGGTAAAAATCTTGAATTTATTCATCTTTGGCTTTAGTAATTGGTATGTATATTTGAATAACAGTCATTAATTAGTCTTCCTTGTAAGTTTATGGATTTTATCCTATTTCTGACAGTGTTCTACTTCAGAAGAGAACTTCAAATGCTCTTTCATTGACTTTGAAACAGTGTCATTCTTCTTCAATTTGTTATTCCTAGTATTATAGACCATATGTTGGTCAGATTTAAAATGACCAATACCAGTCCATGTGAGCTCACTAATGTGTAGGATATTGATCTTCATGTTTTCTATTTCATTTTTTATAACTTCCATTTTTCCTAGATTCAAACTTCGTACATTCCATGTTCTGATTATTAATGGATGTTTACAAGTGTTTTTTTTCTCATTTTGAGTTGTGCCACATCAGCAAACGAAGGTTCTAAAAGCTTTATTCCATCCATTTCAATAAGTCCACTCTACTTTAAGAGGGCAGCTCTTTCACACACATATTTTGAGTGCCTTCCAATTTGAGGGGCTCATCTTCCAGAACTATGCAGGAGAGTGCATGTGTTTTCTTTGAAAACATTTTTTTTTTTTTTTGAAATGACTAATTAGCACTGTGGATGCAAATGTACAGAATTAGAAGTGAAAATCATCCTTGTAAAGTTAATTATAAAGTGTTCTCATTTCAAGTTCACTTTTTGAACAATAACACTTGTATTTAACACAATATTTAGCCAAATATACAATAAGATAATATGACTCTCTAAATAAGAATTTCCATTTCCATTTCTAATTTCTACAATATGTAGTTTTTGGTGTAGTCTTTTTCATTATTAATATTGATAAGGTGGGGCACCATTAATTTTAGATATATTGTTACTGGCATCATATAATTTTTTTTTTAACCAAGATGAACATTAGCTAAAGTTTGATAAAGCAAATAATTAAAAGTGACTTCAATAAGTGTTATTTCCTTTATTTAGTAGTAGTGTTGAAATCATTTGCTCATAATAACAAAATTATTTGGCTACTATTTTCCTTTCCAAGATGATTATGCGTCTTTGAAAACAAACAGTAATTTCTGGATTGTTCATTTGGCTCTATACTCTCACGGCACTCAATGCTCAGTATCTTGCACTTTGCCACTGACCTCTTACTGTTTCCTGTTTGACTGAACCAAATGGAACGGATGTATTCCCTCTTCAGAGTAAAGCCACTGTTTCAATAAGCACACTTACATAATTATCAGTAGTTCTTACCTTTGTTTCTTTATTTAAAATTAATTAAATGGGAATTTCATGGTGTGTGTGTGTGTGTGAATGTGTTGCCTTCTATTGGATAAAGGGGGGGTTGCAAATCCTCCAAAAGGCATGAACCAATAAAATTCTAAAAATCTCTTGAGTAAGCAAAATATTATTTTGGGAATTCAAGGCCCTGCCTTAAATTCTGGTTTTTAAAAAAGAGAGATTTTTCCATGTGAGGAAGAAATCATGCCATCTCATGTAAGACTGAACTCTTTGACCACACGTTTTATTCACATAAAGTGTATCCTACTATCAATATTTACTTTGCTTTGATTACTTTAGTACCATAATCTATATGAAGTCACAATAATTATAACTATGTTATGCAACTGGATGAAAGCTTCCCAAATCTATCCTAGAAACTCATTATGACTCCTTAAATTAGCTAGTGAAGCAACCTGGTAATTCCTGACACTTTTGAAAGGAAAATGATTTTTAAAAGACCATGTCATGTATACAGAAGCAGAGTATGTGAAGCATTTATAATGGATACTTAGCAAATGAGAAAAAGGTGATCCCATTCTAGAAGACTCAGGAAATTGTTATAGTTGAGACATAGGGGGAGGTGGTTATTAAAAAAATACCCTTTTCAATATCATACATCAGCAAAACAAAATGAAACTCACTGTTGTGGGGTCATTCCCGACTCACAGTGACACCTCCTTGGGTCTCGAGGCAGTATCTCTACAGAAGTAGATTGCCCAATCTTCCTTCTGAGGAGTGGCTGGTGGGTTTGAACCTCCAGCCTTCTGGTTAGCAGCCAAATGGCTTAGGCACTACACCACCAGAGCTCCCAATATCATACATAAACATATATAAATATGAATGGACCTTCACAATTACTTATAGATGTGCTTCACAGCATGTTAATAGAAGTAATGCATAGATAGGTAATATGAATTTTACCCAACAAGAATTCCTGTCCACTTCTACTCTGAATATATACTTGACCTTGTTGAATAAAAATGAGGAATTCAGAAAGAGAATTACACAAACACTTAACTTAGGTCATTTGTTCAGATAACCATCAGTCTTCAATTGCAGTTGATAAATATCGTACTAAATCTGCTTCACTTGAATAATCAGTATTTTCTACTTTAGCTTTATGACTTTAACTCTTAAGTTTTTCAAAGGGCAATTGTGAATGAATATAAAATTATTCTTTATGGCTGTCAGCTTATCAGAGTTCATTCTTATCTTAAAATGTTAATTTGTTAAATTCTATAAGCAATCAAATTATAAAATGAATGATATAATGGATACATATCTGAGACATGAACAGAGTAGAGACCATGTACTTTGGAAATTAAGAAAATAATCTAAAAATACAGTGAACTCAGGATTCAAATTCTACTGTGAACTTTAGCTACATGTATATTAATAAATAGGCTACAATATCAAAGTAAATCACCAAATATAACATTATTAAGTTGAATGTTTTACTTAAAGTATTCAGTGTATTTGGCAGTTTGGAAATACCTCTGTTCTTTTGTTCCATGGCCAACTGCTTCTCAAGTGTTTCCCTTAGTTCTCTTTCCCTTAAAAAATCCATCTTCAGCTCTGTTTTTTCCAGTTGGACCTGTTTTTCTTGAGCTCTGGCATTATCTATGGCAACTTTCAAGAGTCCCTGTATAAAGAAGGTATTCAGAATAACAATATGTTGGTAGAAAGCACATTTCGTTCATTGTAGAAGCATTTAAAAAGAGAATACTCCACTTATCAAATTATTTAATCCATGCTGTGTATTCATTCTGTGCTCATAAGGATAAATACTGTAAAGCAGAAAACTTCTAAATACAATGAAATCATTTTAAGAAGACACATATTTAGGAAATATTGTATAATTGCTTCTGAGCAGAAGAGTATCTAGAACCAACAGCACATAAGATTGCCTAAAAAATGAAAACTAAGAAAAAATTAGGGTGAAACTCTTCCAGAAGTAATAGTCGCCATGGATTATGCACCTCCATGTGATATTGATCATATGGCCAAAATCTGAAGTTGTCAGGTATTTCATTTTATGCAGATATCCATAATCAACATACATGCAAGTGACAATCAGGAAATCAGATGACAATTGTCCTGGGCAACTCTGCTGCAAAAGACCCATTTAAAGTGTTAAAGAGCAAAGATATCACTTTGAAGACTAAGGGGTGCCTGACCTAAGCCATGGTATTTTCAATAGTATCACATGCACATAAGAGTCATGAACAAGAGACAGACGATGTATTTTGGAAATTAAGATAATAGGCTAAAAATACAATGACAATGAATAGGGTAAATCACACAATATTAATGCATTTGAATTGTGGTGTTGGCAAATGTAAATACCATGGGCTGTCAGAACAAACAAATCTGTCTTGGAAGAAATACAGCTGTAACACTCCTTAGAAACAAGAATGGCCAGACTTTGTCTCATGTACTTTGGTCATATTGTCAGAAGTGAGAAGTCCCTGAAGAAGGATATTATGCTTGAGAAAGTAGAGGGTCAGAGAAAAAGGGGAAGATCCTAAACAAAATGGAGTGGCACAGTGGCTGCAATGATGGGCTCAAGTACAGCAGTGTTTCGTTCTGCTGTACATAAGGTGGCTATAAGTTGGAGCCAACTTGATGGCACCTAACAACAATGTGTGATCCTGATGGCACACACTTACCTCTATAATCTCACACTCTACATTTCCCTACTGAGATCGCACCAGGTACAATGCTTTTATTAATTGATTTTTTGGTTCCTCAATATACCAATTCTCTCCACACCAGGGTCCTTGCTCTTGCCAGTCCTTTCCTGAATGCTTTACATCCAGATCTTAGCATGGCTTACACTCTCCTTTCATTTCATCTTTGCTTAATGTCACCATCCAGGAGAGGCCTTCTCTTACCATCTTATCTGGAATGATCTTCCACACCTCTCTCATTACTTTTTCTTCAAAATTCTTCATAGCATTTACCATTATGTAATATTGTCATATATTTATATGTTCATTTCTTTATGTTGTGTCTCTACAAAAATATAAGCTCCATAAGGGGCTGGATGGTTCCTTTTATTGGGCATCAATTCCCCATTGCCCAGAGACTGCCAAGCATAGAGTAGATTAAAAAAAAAAAAAAAAGATATTAGAAAGTATACAACTTCCATATTTTACTTAAGGCATATAATATATTCCAAGAATCAGAAGCTCAGTTACTAAATAGACTGTATTATTTAATTTTTAAAAAAGGTTATTCAAAATGGCTGTAAGAAGTAGAGAAAAAACTTTTAAGTGACTCTGACAGCACAATTCAAAAGTGCATGTTGTGAAAAAAAAAATGTAGTTATTCCTATCACAAATTGTGTTCTCTTGTAGCTACATAATTTGAATTATTGTGTGCTTTTAAAAGAAATTATATTAGCATTTTGGTATTTTTTTAATAAATGAGAGTATAAGAGTATATTAATCATAGAGAAAACATTATATGTACTTTTTCTCCTAAGTTGTTTTGATCAAAGTTACTAGTGAAAATTAGTGCTAAAAATTCTGTCTTCTCAATTCAGCAATTTAAAATATTATTTTGAAGTTAAGGGATACTTTTTTTTGGTCTCTGAATATCAGGGACTAAAATTTTCAACTGAAATTATAAATGCAATGGAAGTTGGCATCATGTGTAGGTAAACTCTAGCATGTGACCTCTTGTAGCAGGTCTTCAGCAGTTTGAATCAAAATTTTTAACTCCAGCTTGACTTGCAAACCCAATAGAGATGTAGCCTCACTTCAGCCCACTTGCATAGTTTATAGCATTGTCATAAGCCATGTTTAATCTTTTCAAGTACATATAAATTATTTTGTATCTGTTATACTTGACTCCATGACTTTCCATGATATAATTCGTGTGACCTGAAACAAGCTGGAGGATTTCTATAAGGCAGTTTGCCCCTCCTCAGTTTTTTTCTTGTTTAACAATAAAACATAGCTACTAAGGAAACTGCCATCTTAACTCAATTCAGCAACATTCCTGTGTATATTTCTTCTTCATCAGGAACAAACAATTAGTAACAAATGAAAGAGATCATTACATCAAGTGCCCTTTTAGATCACCCCAATTAAAACTTTAGTTTAGTTGTATTTTAATTCTAAGATACCAAATTCTAATTTTCTGCTCTGATTGCTCTTGTTGACTTATCTTTGAAAGATGTACTCTCTGTGCAATGTCTAGAGATTATTTAGCAAGATGCCAATGTTGGCACCACTTAATGTGTTGATTGGTTGTATTATCAGTAGCTGTTTAAAATAAATTACTATTAAACAATTATTGTCCTTGGCTGACAAAACACAATATTTTGGTGTTGTTTAAATATAAAACAATGATTATTAATAAACATGTTGTATAATGTTAAACTGCAACTCTGATTTGTGTAATTTTCTATTAATATTTGTTGTAAAGTATGAAGGTGCTGAGAGCATTTATGTTTACTGTTTTCTTTTGTTACAGTTGCTGCTAATGTCATTAATGGTAATACATTACCTATTCCTGCTGATTATGTCTGAAAAATATTAGCTTTGAGAATCCAAGACCCTCTTGGGACTACTTAAAGCTATATAAAATTAAGTTGATTTTTAGACTTTAAATCAGTGCACATCAGTAGGAGTCCAATGTGAGCAAAACTCCATACTAGAGCCAAACTGATACAAATGCAAAAGTATGTTACCGTCAGTGACAGCCCTGCTGCAAAAAAAAAAAAAAAAAAAGAAGAAGAAGAAAGAAAACTGATTAAATTTCAATGCAGCAGGGGGCTGGGAAAAGCAATACTAAGTGTTCACAACATCTACAAATCATTAGGACACCATTTTAACCATCAGTGATAACAGTACTTTCAGATTTGTGTAACTTCTGTAAATTTTCTAGATAGATCATCTGCAAAATGTCATGCTAAATGCCAGGTCTCCCCTGGATGTGCAGTGTCCAGCAATGTGTGGGTACGATTATGTGAATTATTCTGCAAGACAGAATGCTTAAAAAATGAGTTTTTCTCCAAGGGGAGGTCTGTTCTAATGATGCTGAAATTGGATAACGACAATTCTACAGAAACATATTTTTTTTCTGTTTATTTTTAACTTAACTGTATGCTACCACAATAATAAGAGACAATGGTTGTTTGGCCTCAAATTTCTTTTTCTTAAGTGAAGAAGCATCATGATTGTCATAATATACAAATATCTTTGTTTCCTAAAATGATTTATGTTGTAAATTAAAATATCTTCATCATTTTTCAGAGAAGAAATGAGTCTATACATTTTTGAAAAAAAGCACTGGACATGATTTAGTAACGTTTCTATAATTTCTATTGCTTAGAAAGTGTGGGGACTTGTTATAATAGGATGTAAATTTTTTCTTAGTGTGCTAGTTAGATTTTAAGCAAAAAGTTTACTAGTCTGTGTTTGTATTTTATACAAACTTATTTTAGAACCAGATGAGAAGCAAGCTTCCTTGAGTGCCAAATTTATGTTATAAAATGGGTACTCAAGAAGTGTGCTACTTCTAATAACAGTAAAATGCTCTAGTTCAAGAGGATTACCTCATCTAACCAAAATCTTTTAAGGATGAGAAAGCAAAGTCCACAAGGACCAGGTGACTTGCCCAAGATTCTAAACTAGTGAAGTGACTAAGGCTAGATTAGGACTTACTAGCTGTTTAATCTCCCTTTTTCTTTTAATTCTCTCCTTGTCTCCTTTCAGGATGACAAGGAATAATGTTCCTTAAATCTAGGAGCTTCTATAGACAGGAAAAAAGAAGGAAAACTAATGCATTTTCCCAGAAGGTCCCGATAAGAGAAGAAATACCCAGAAGTATCATATTGCATCTAATATTATGATTACTGTTCTCCAAAGTCAATAATGACTCCGGCTGTCAAAAGCCAATCTAGATATAAACTCATCTTATGATTCGTATGATCATATGTGCTAATATGGTGATATACGCTCTGGAATCATCTACTTGTGTTTAATCCAAGCTCCACCATCATTTATGTGACCTTGATCAAATGACTTAACCGTCTTCATTTTCTCAAGTATACAATGGTGATAACAATTAAATCTACCTTAAAAGATTATAAAGAAGAATCAATGAAATCTTGTATTTAATCAGCACAGAGGTTTATATATTATGATTGCTCAATAAATACTAGCTGTTACCATTACAGTTATCATCATTTTTGCACAAGACATAAATTAATAAGTATAATGGACAGTCTAGGGTTTGAAGAAGTTAATGTCATTCTCTCCTAACAGTAAACTGTGATTAGGTTATTGGTTATAACTGGTTTTATTTCCCTATTCACAAGTTAGGAACTCTGGTAGTGTAGTGCCTAAGGCACTTGAGTGCTAACCAGAAGGCTGGTGGTTCAAACCCACCAGGCACTCCTCAGAAGGAAGGTTGGACAATCTACTTCCGTAGTGATACTGCTTCGGAAACTCAAGGAGGGGTCACTATGAATTGGGTCTGACTCGATGGCACATAACAACAACAACAACATTCACAAGTTAGTAATGGGAACAAAGAGGAGAAAAAGACTTAAATAATAATGATTAAAAATAAAAGCATACAATGTAAGATCAATGTTTTGGACCTTTGCTTGATCATATCTTGAACCCAGTATCTCTTTCTTTTTGAGGGAAGGTGGATTTTTCTTTGAATTCTTATAACTCTATTGTGATTAAAATTACATATTAATAATGCAAATAAACAAACCTTAATTTATTTTAATACACATAAAAATAATTAGCCATAACATTGAAATGCAATGACTTGAAGATGGAAAACCAGAGTATGTCAGTCTTAAATTTTTTCATTTTCTTGCCCCAAACATAGAAGTAGAGAAGTCTCCTTAGAAAAAATGGCAAGACTCAGCTATTTATTAGACTACAGGGAATCAATCTTGGACTGCCATCTATTGTAATATTCCTTTTTAGTCTTTCTTGTTTGCTTAATTCCTGCATACAGTCAAACCAAAACATGCTGAACTCCTATCATATATCCCATCATGGCTTATATCTTCAATACTAACCTCACTCCTGCCTAATATTTGTATTCTTTACCTTTATTTTAGGAACCCAGGTGGCAATACATTTTCCTTTTTAATTACTGTTTCTTAATACTTGCAAACAATTGTAAATCTTTTTTTCAATGATATAGATAGAAAAAGTAAATTATTTAATATATAGCTCAAAAAGGAAATCAGTTTCTCCTATTCCTATGTACAAATAGGTTCTATATTTGATTTACAGCAAGAAAGCTCAGATTGATACTTGATGTGTGTAAAATTCTGCTTTCAACATGTTCAAGTGACAGTCATTGTTTGAGGTTTCATATCCAGTTAGCTGACATAAAATTTTAGTTTCCACACATGGAATCTCACAGAGTTATACAAAGACATGCTTGAATTAGGAAGCCAAAATGCAAGATTGCCCCACTGAAAAACATAAATAAAATTCTATATAAAGTAAACAAAACTATTTTTAAAAGAAAAACATAAGATGTATCCATATTACTCACTAAAGTGAAATTACTATGCTTTACTGAAAGTATCTGCATCCATTATTACTTTCAAGTTGTAAAATACTCAAGTGTCCAGAAGGAACAGGATAGGTATTGTTCTTAGCTGCTGTGGAATAGATTCTGACTCAAGGTAACCCCATGTTTGCAGAGTAGAACTGTGCTCCATAGAGCTTTCAATGCTGTCACTTTTCAGAAACAGATCTCCAGGCTTGTCTTCAAAGACATTTATGGGTTTGAACTGCCAACCTTTTGGCTAGTAGTCAAGTGCTTAACTGTTTGCACCACAAGGACTCCTAGTGTAGCTCTAAACCAAAACTCACTGCCATCAAGTCAATTATAACTCATAGAGACCTCCATTAGGTTTCCAAGGCTGTAAATCTTAACAGACGTAAACTGCCTAATCTTCCTCCACCGATCTTCTGGTTAGCAGCCAAATGCCTTACCCACTATGCCACCAGATCTCCTTAGTATAGCTCTCAAAACCAAACTCACTGCCATCAAACCCATAACAACTCATAGCGACCCCTACTGTGTTTCCGAGGCAGTAAATCTTTACAGAAGTTGATTGACCCATCTTCCTTCTATGAGCGGCTTGTGGGTTTCAACCACCAACCTGGTTAGCAGTCATATGTCATAAGCACTACACCACCAAAGCTCCTTTAATATAGTTCTAGAAGCTAACAACGATCAGATGTCTAAAGTTATGTATACAAATACAGCTTTTTTTCCACAATTCTTTGAAAGCACAAACAAATAAAATTTATGAAAACTTAAATTTAGTAATCGCATCAAGAAAGGGACCTCTGTAATAACCATTACTAATTTTAAAAATTTGGAATTGTCAAACTAGAGTATATCATGAAACTATATTATTGCCTATTAGTAGTACAATAACCCCTTGAGCAAGCAAATTATTTTTAAGTTTCATTAATGCTTAGAAATAGTTTTTATATACATTACATTTAAATATAATCCAAATGTTTTGAAAGCTATAACACTGAATTCTCAATTAAAACAACAAATATGTATAATAATTATAAAAAACAGGGAATTGTATGATTTGAGAAATATAAGTAAGCTTCAACTCAATTCCTTTTCATTGTCACTCTGATAAATGATCTCTAAAGGAAATATGGAGCTTTCAACTTACAACACAAATAGTGCGTTACTATTTTGACATAGAAAGCAAAGAATCCCACTTTATATCATTGACACTTCACAGGAAATTGAGGTAGGCAGAATGTAATTACTCAAATTAGAATTTGGACAGCAAATGCATTGATACTGTATGCCCAATGAGCCAGGGTCAAGACTTAAACATTCCATACCACTCCTAGGATATTACTATAACTCAATAATTGTGGGAATAATAAAAGAGCTAGCATCTACGACCTTTTGTAAAATGAGTGAAATCATTACTGACCATAAAATTCAGTGTGTGTGTGTGTGTGTGTGTGTACATGTAAATATTACTGTGTCATGGGACTTAGTAAGATTTTCAATGTACTTTAAAATATTTTACCATTTGTATGCAAAGATACATATATATATATATATATTATTTACATATAGACATACATGTATGTAAGTTTGAACTGAACAAGCATAATTTATTTTTAATGATACATTCTTATGGTAGGAATGTTCCAACTTTATCAGACCCATGTATATCTTAACGTTGGGACTAAAAACAAGTAATTTTAGTTAGTCTTGAACATTTTCCTATCATCAGTTCTTGCTGAAATATGTTCTCAAGGTATATTGTTAGAAAAGAGACTATGTTAAATATACAGCACCTTCCATAAAATAAAATATCTGTTCAAACTCTTCTCATTTTAAAACTAGGGTTTCCTTTCCTCTTTTCCTCTCTTCTCTCCCTTCCATTCTTCCTTCATTCTTTTTTTTTTTTAAGAAATGACTAGAGTTTGAGGTGATGCGTTTAACATTCCCAGCCTCAGTATTAGTGTCCTACTGAGGATGAACATGGATTTGGTTGTACTCACCAACTGACAGTATTTGACTTAGAGCTGTGGCAGTCACATCCAATGAAAAAGTCCACGTGCAAAACCCATTCTTCTGGTGAACATGCCAGTTTACACTGATGAAACCCAGAAATATTTTTTCTGTTGAAATTAAATTCCTACTGGCCGGCTTGTGTCATTTTAGTTAGTGATAGAGAATTTTAAGCACAAGCTTAACTTTTTTCTTTCCTTCTTACATGAGAAAAATGAATTGTTCCTTTTTCAGAGTGCAAATTCAGAAATGTTGAGGGGTATATTCTGAAAGCATTTAATAGCAAGAAAGAAATTCATTAAAAACTCTACCTCATAGAAAACGAAAGGATCAAATTTAGAAAAAAAAAAAAGTGTTCTGTTTATTTAAAGATATCAACTTTTTGACCATGATTAGGATCAGGCTGAGTTGATGGTTTATTTTACTTCTGGAGATATAAAACCTTAAAGTTGAATACAATTCTACAGATTCTAATTACATTAGTATTAAAAACGCCATATTAATAGATGAGGAGATATGTTACATTGAAGGCCTTCTGTTATGTCCTTGGAGAGGTAAACAAAATTAACCAGATTTCTATTGGGAGAAATTTTAATATGGGAGGTATTGTGTACAGGAAAATATCACTGAGGATAGAGTGGTAGTATGAAAAAGAATATGTACCAGTACTGTATCTGCAAGCATGTCTAGTACTGGGTATTCCAAGTATGGAGATGTGGATGGTAAAAATCACCATCTGTTACCCACATGATCACTTCATGTGCAGGCAAAAGAAAAATTCTTCTATTCTAAACACTCTTATTATCTTGGCTTCATGGTCTATGTTATTGTTAACTGTGAGTATTTTTGATTCATAATCTACTATATGTAAAATATACATCCTGAAGACTACATAGGAAATCCGTAGAAACTTTTGTATGGCTTTTTGAAGTGCATTCTTTGAAGAAACTATTAACTGAAACAAACTTATTTATGAAAGAAGGGACTTTTTAAATTATTCATTTATATTAGACATATTTCAAATAAATAAATATATCATTTCCTCACTGGAAGTTCAGCAATTTAAAAATAACTAAATATTTATTAGAACTGGAGTTCTGTCATTTAGTAAATCAGAGAAACTTAAACAGTTTGATTCTTCCCATTAGTTGACAATAAAGGGAACATTTAAGGAGAGTGACTTTACAAAAAAATCAATGCCACTTTCATCTAAGTTGATATACTGGCTTAATATACATAGCTAAGTATTTATAAACTAATTTGATTAGTGTAGTTTGAAATCTAAATTGCTAGGAAAAGTTTAATACAATGTTTTAGAGTAAGTTGGTATAGTATAAAGTTTGAAAAACTGGGTTTACAAATGAGTCTCCTGTTTTTTCCAGATTGCAAAAAGTCCTACCTGGATGTTAGTTAGAAGGGTCTCTATGGAAGACAATCCATCAGGAAACAGAAAAGGAGATGGAAAACCTGGAGGCAGTGGTTGTCCATGCCCAGTTAGAGAAAGTTTGTCAAGGCTGTCTCTTGCGGTTGGTGTGGAAAGCGGGGTCTCATCTGTATGTGATTGAAACAAAAATATAGAACAAGTTACGCTTGTCTGTTTTTATTAGACCTCAGTAATGGCTTCCCTAGTGGTTTCCAGAACATTTATTGCAAATTGGTTCCTGCTATCAGGAGAAAATGCTTTCTGCTGAATTTTCTTTAATGAAAAAGCTGTGGAGATACAACAAGATAACATTAATGAGTAACTTTATAAGCCTTTTAAATGCAGTCTCTAATGAGACTGAGTTTACAGTGCCATAGAATCTTTTTAAAACAAATATTATCTCATATATAGTTGTGATAATATATTCAGGCTGACTTTATAGGCACCTTCCCAATTATCTCATTTTAGTTTGTTTTATTTAGATTGACAATGGGATATATCTAGAACTTGATATAAGAAAAATGCTTTGTGTATTAGTATGTTTCTTTTTCAATTAACCCTTCCTTTGTATCAGTGATTTGTTCAAATATAGTCTTAAGGAATCTACAAAAGAATGTACAATTAAAATCTTCATTACGCATTTTAAAAGAAAAAACTAGAATCCAAATATATTCTTCCTCAACTATAATTGAATTGTTCAATATCATTAGAGCTAAAGATCTAATTCATTTGAACTTGAATGCCTTTTAATAGTAGCCTTTTACCTTCATATTGAAAAGTGATAGCTTTTATCCAAGGAAAAGAGGTTTAATGAAAGGGTAATAACGTACAAGTCCCATAACAAAATTTAGACAATCAAATATAAAACCTTTTAAGATATATTAATCTTTTTCATTTATTGAATACTATTCAAAATTTTAAGCAATTTAGAGTAATATTCCAAATACAGATTCTTCTTTCTCTCACAATGAATTTTTTCTTCTTTTTTTCAATTCACTTCTTTATTATTTTAATAAACTTTTAGTTTCATGTAAGATTCAGACAAGTTGTGACTGATTTTAGGTTATTATAGTCACAGAGAAAATTTTATTCATGGCAGGCTTCTCAATTTTATAAATATTTTCATATTTCACCCCAGGAAAATTAATCAGAGCAGTGTATTTGCACAGTCCTGATAGTATCTCTCAATTTTGCAAGTGACTAAAACTTCAGCACACTTGCCTGTATGCTTATAATTTGATTCCACTGTTCTCCTCGGTCATTCCTTTATTTTTCATTACAACTCCTAACCACACAACACGTTTTCCAATTACTTCTCTCTGGGGCAGAAATATTATGGGAGCTCCACACTGTACTGTGTCTAACTAATGTCAGAACAAGTTAAATTCATCTCCCGCACCTTTCCACATTTCTAGTTAATGAACCAAAAGGGAAGAAAGGCTTAGGAGGGAGGTAATGGACACAGACCCTCTATTAACTGTCCTCCTCTTACACTTACTCACTCCTCTGCAGGGTCTCCTTCCATTCCTTCCTGTGTTAACTTACTGACAGATGATCTAAGGCAGCAAGTACTAGAAAAAGAAACCAAGTAAGCTGCAAAAGTCAAACTCATTGTGTTATTTATTTATTTATTTCCCTTTCATCACACTTGTCACTGAGGTTAAAGTGAGACTGCGGTGCAGGGGTAGAGGGCTACTGCATGGCTTATATGATCAAGGTGATCTTGGACTACACTTACCAAGCTGCCATAAATTACTCCTCCAGATCAAGGCTGCTAGTATGTTCTCTTAATAGCTCCAAAAAGGCACTTGTTAAACATCTATGTGCATGTGAAATTGTTTAAGAATGGAGAGCAATATTTTTTGATCAGCCTCACCTTAGCTGTCACATGCTAAAGAAAATGTGGCTTAATAGATCATGGAGATAATAATTGCTTGTCTCTTGAAGAAAAGCGTAGAACCAGATGACCACCTGAGGTTGCTTTTAGCTTTAAAATGTGTAATTCCACAATTCTTAAAGATTGTCCAAGAAAATAATCATCGTATACATGTATATACACAGACATATACATATTTGTTTAAAGTTCCATTAACCTTGTTTTTATATGATTCAATTTCAATACATTTATGCTTGACTATACTTGGCTGTTGTGTGAATTCATTCATTAAATCAGTGTTGATGCATATATTTATGTAAACAATATTTAATTAACCTAGATGATGTGTTAGACACTGCATAGAGAAAGCTGAAAAACATGATCTAATGCCTCAAGAAGCTCCTCTAGACTAGAGTGATCATCTGCATTCCTAAAGGGATAATTCGTGTACTTTGTAAAATATTTTGTCTTCTGTCATCCACCCTTCGCTATTGTTAGCTGCCATTGAGTTGGCACCAACTCACTATGGTCTTATGCATAATAGAAGAAAATGTTGTCCAATTTTATGCTATGTCCATGACTGTTGATACGGGAAGCTGCTGTCCTTTTTCTAGTGTAAGACTGAAATTCGTCTACGCTGATGTGTGTGTGTGTATGTTTGTGTATGTATCTGTGGAGGTGTTTGCATTTTTCTCCCACAGCTACTTTAATGGAATGCTCACCTTGGTCCTCATGACTCCAGCTTTCTGTGATTAGATTTGGTATAAATGTATCTGATTCAATCATTCATTTATCATTTTCCATACTGGAAACAATGAGAAGTCCACTTTAATTCAATGCACAGAGGTGAAGCAATCAAATGCAGGGCAGAATGACTTACTGAGAAATGTTTTAATATGTGATATAACTGCTTAAAACAAATATGTGTTTTTGAAAAAAAGACAACATTATACATCAAATAAGCAAAAGCAAAAATGATCCTTTGGGCCTCAGGACCCTACTATGTCAGTAAAAATTTGGCATCTTGTGGCAATTAACATGATAAGAAGGCTCATTTAGTTCTTCCCAGGAGGACTATAAAATTGGATAAGAAGTTCTCTTTTGAAATAGATGTGACCTTTGATCTCCTGTATGTTCTAAGAAGTTCCAGGGGCAAGGTAAAGTAGAAGAGTATTTTGACATCCCATAATCTCTACTGTCTTCAAATTGAATAATCAAGCATCAATTCATAAAACATCATATTCTAAGTTGATATTTCTGTACATATTTAATTTTAAATTTTTAGCTTTTGAAAAAAAAGTTAGCTTGCCAGATCCCATGATCTTTGGTTATTATAGTATTTAACAATGTAATCTGTGATTTTATTTTCTAAATTTACTTTTAAATAATTTAAAACTATGGGAAATTTGCAAATGTGGCACAAAGAATTCCTATACACTTCTGTAGTGGGTTGACTCTTGGTCCTCTGAAAGATATTTAAAAAAGAAAAAAAAAGATTTCACATCCTAAAATTCAAGGAACCTGTGAAGTGGCCATATTCAGAAAAAGGGTTCCACAAATGTTAGTAAGTGTAGGATTTTGCGATGAGGAGATCATCTTGATTATTTGAATGAGCCCAAAATCTAGTAACAAGTATCCCTATAACAGAAAGACAAAGATTTGAGACAGACAGAAAGTGAGAAGACATGGAGAAAAGAAAATGACAATGTGAAGACATTTAAAGATTGGAATTCCACCAGCCAAAGAATGCCAACAACTACAAGAAGATGGAAGAGGCAATGGAAGATTCTGTCCTATAGCTTCCAAAAGGAGTATAGATAGACCTGCTGACACTTCTATTTTGAATTTCTGGTATCCAGAACTGTGAGTTTAGTTTCCTGTTATTGTTAAGTTTTGGTTGATTTAACAACCAAAATTGTTGTAATTTGTTATGCCAGCTTTAGGAAACTACTAAAACTCTGTACTCAAATTTACTAATTGTTTACATTAACTTTTTAATTTTGTGTTTCTCTCACTTTTATTCTGTGTGTATTTGTGTGTATGTGCTTGTGCATATGCATATTATTTTGAATATTCTTGCTTTAAAATATTTAATGCTAAAGTGTATATTTCATAAGTACAGGATATACTCTTACATAATCACAGTACACAATCAGAAAAAATAGCATAAGTAAATTACTATTGTTTAATCGGGAGCTCTGGTAGCATAGTGCCTAAGGCACTTGACTGCTAACCAGGAGGCTGGCGGTTCAAACCCACCAGCCACTCCTCGGAAGGAAGGTTGGTTGGGCAATCTTACTTCCGTAGTAATAACTGCCTCGGAAACCCAAGGAGGGGTCGCTAGGAGTCGGGGCCGACTCTATGGCAAATAACAACAACAATTGTTTAATCAAGAGTCCATGTTTCATTATCTATGAGGTTTTATCTGCAAATGGTTACATAATAAATATGTTAATTTATTTGACAAGTTCTTAGGCAGTATTTTTCTATGGGCTTGTAGTAAGTACACTGATAATAGCCTCTACTATGCTCTCTATAGGAGCTCTGGTGGCATAGTGCCTAAGGCATTTGACTGCTAACTAGGAGGCTAGCGGTTCAAACCCACCAGCCACTCCTGGGAAGGAAGGTTGGGCAATCTACTTCCATAGTGATACTGCCTCGGAAACCCAAGGAGTGGTCGCTGTGAGTCAGATCTGACTTGACGGCAGTGCATTGCATTTTTCCTGTACTATGCCCTCTAATGATCCCTCCTCTGTTCTGATTCCTGCCCTAATTAATGGATCTTGAGGTGGATCTAACAAATAGAATACAATAAATGGGATGTCACTATAAGATTGGGTTATAAAAAGTCTTTGGCTTTCATTTCTCATGTTCTCTCTTGTATTAACTTGGACTTGTAGAAAGCAACTGTCGTATCTTCAGAGAGCCCTATGTGCAGGTACACATGACAAGGGACTAACCAAAAAAAAAAAATAAACTCACTGCCGGCGAGTCGATTTTGACTCATAACAACCCCTCCTTGCGTTTCCGAGGAGGTATCACTACGGAAGTAGATTGTCCCACCTTTCTTCCAAGGAGTGCGGGGACTAAGACCTGCCAATAACAATGAATTGTCTTGAATGTGGATTCCTCCTACCCAGCATAGCCTTTAGATGAGGCTGCAACCCTAGCCAACAGCTTAACTGCAACTCATAAGATCTTGAGGCAAAATCACTAGGTAAGCTACACCCAGATTCCTGATCCACAAAGACT